GGTCCCTCGCCCCCCCCTGTCCCTGTCCCTCACCTGGCCGTGTCCCACCTGTCCCACCTGGCCCTGTCCCTCACATGGCAGTGTCCCACCTGTCCCACCTGTCCATGTCCCACCTGTCCCTGTCCCACCTGTCCCTGTCCCACCTGGCCGTGTCCCACCTGGCCATGTCCCACCTGTCCATGTCCCTCACCTGGCCATGTCCCACCTGGCCATGTCCCTCACCTGTCCCACCTGGCCATGTCCCACCTGTCCATGTCCCTCACCTGGCCATGTCCCACCTGGCCATGTCCCTCACCTGTCCCACCTGGCCATGTCCCACCTGTCCATGTCCCTCACCTGGCCATGTCCCACCTGGCCATGTCCCTCACCTGTCCCACCTGGCCATGTCCCACCTGTCCATGTCCCTCACCTGGCCATGTCCCACCTGGCCATGTCCCTCACCTGTCCCACCTGGCCATGTCCCACCTGTCCATGTCCCTCACCTGGCCATGTCCCACCTGGCCATGTCCCTCACCTGTCCCACCTGGCCATGTCCCACCTGTCCATGTCTCACCTGGCCTGGTCTCACCTGTCCCAGTCCCTCACCTGTCCCTCACCTGTCCCAGGCCCTCACCTGTCCATATCCCACCTGTCTCACCTGTCCATGTCCCACCTGGCCCTGTCCCACCGGCTGTGTCCCACCAGTCCCTCACCTGTCTCACCTGGCCCTGTCCCACCTGGCCGTGTTCCACCTGTCCTTGTCCCTCACTGGTCCATGCTTCACCTGGCCCTCTTCACCTGTCCCTCACCTGTCCCTGTCCCAGTTTCACCTGGCCCTGGTCCTCACCTGGCCCTGTCCCACACCTGCCCATCCCTCACCTGGCCCTGTCTCACCTGTCCCTGGCCCTCACCTGGCCGGGTTCCACCTGGTTGTGTCCCACCTGGCCATAGCCCTCACCTGGCCCAGTCTCACCTGTCCCTGTCTCACGTGTCCCACCTGTCCTTCACCTGGCCCAGTCTCACCTGGCCCTGGCCCTCACCTGTCCAATCTCCCCTGTCTCTCACCTGTCTCACCTGTCCATGTCTCACCTGTCTGTCTCTCACCTGTCTCACCTGT